GGCATTTCTAAAACTTACCGTTATATGAAAAGCCATAATTTTAGTCCGATTTAAATAATTTTCATCGTTTTGCTTTTATGTAGCAAGCACAATAAAAATACCGAGTTTGGTACAAATTGGTAGAACGGTTACCGAGATACATATATGTGATCATAAGTGGGCGGTGCCACGCCCATTTTCCAAAATTTTATTATAGACGTATTTTCTGGTAAGGAATTGTTGCAAGCATCAATTTTGAATAAATTGGCTTTAATATTTACTGATTTATCGAAGATTTCGTATTTCTCCAAATTACCGTTATATGAGATGTGGGCGTGGTTATTGTCCGATTTTAAAACTTTTCGGCCGTTTGGTATCCTGTACCAAGGCCAATAACTGTGCCAAGTTTGGAAGAAATCGGTGCAGCGGTTGCCAAGATATACACATGTAACCATAAGTGGGCGTGGCTACGCCCATTTTCCAAAAATTTATAACATTCTTAGTTTTCCTCTAAAAATTGTTGTAAATATACATTTTGAGTGAATAATCTTCAGTAGTTACTAAAATATCGCAATTTTCGTATTTCCGAAAATTACCGTTATATAGGATGTGGGCGTGGTTATTTTCCGATTTTTTTAATTTTCGGCGATTTAGTATGCTGTATCAAGGCCAACAACTGTGCCAAGTTTGGAAGAAATTGGTGCAGCGGTTACCAAGATATACACATGTAACCATAAGTGGGCGTGGCTACGCCCATTTTCCAAAAATTTATAACATTCTTATTTTTCGTCTAAAAATTATTGTAAATATCAATTTTGAGTTAATAATCTTCAGTAGTTACTAAAATATCGCAGTTTTCGTATTTCTGAAAATTACCGATATATGGGAGGTAGGCGTGGTTACTGTCCGATTTTGCCCATTTTCCAATACCATCCGTCCTACGCTCGAAAGAAGTACACGTACCAAGTTTCGTTAAGATATCTTAATTTTTACTCGAGTTATCGTGTGCACAGACGGACGGACAGACGGACGGACGGACGGACAGACAGTCAGCGCTTAATCGATTTCTCTTTTCATCCTGATCATTTATGTATACATTTGTCTATATCTATCTCGATTCGTTTTGCCTGTTACAAGCAACCGTTATGTGAACAAAGTTATAATACCCTTGTGCACACGTGCGCTCGGGTATAAAAATTAGTTAGTTAGCTTACAACTTGAGAACGGTTTCACCGAATTCAACGAAATTTATAAAGCTTATTCGGGCCATCATGCAGATATTTTGTGTGGAGTTTGCCCAAATTTGGAAAAGGGGGCGTGGCATATGTATCTTATGTATAAAAATAAGTACACGTTTTTGCTGTGAGCTTATATCTTGAGAACGGCTTCACCGAATTCAACCAAATTTTTACGGCATATTCAGGCTATCATGCAGATGGTTTATGTGAAGTTTGCCCGAATTCGTAAAAGGGGGTGAGGCACCTCCCATACTAACTAAAATTTGTATGTTGTATATCTTTTGAAATATTTGTGGTAGAGTACTGGAAGTTGGTATAGAGGTATATCAAATAATTCCATACTCATGGAGAAAAATGGGCGGTATTGGAAAAGAGGGCGTGGCACCTCCCATCTTATATATAAAAAATAAGTACAAGATTTCAACCAAATTTATACGGCATAGTCGATTATGCAGATGGTTCGTATTAAGTTTCCCCGAATTCGGAAAAGGGGGCGTGGTACCACCCATACTAACAAAAATTTTCATCTGGTATATCTCTTGAAATATTTGTAGTAGATTACTGGAAATTGGTATAGAGACATATGAAATAATTCCATACTCATGGAGAAAAATGTGCAGTATTGGGAAAGGGGGGCGTGGCACCTCCCATCTTAAATAAAAAAAATAAGTGCACGAATTCTACCAAATTTAAACGGTATATTCGGACTATCATGCAGATGGATTATGTGAAGTGGGTCCGAAGTCGGTCCAGCGGTTCATCATATATGACAGTTTATGTCTGTCACATGAACCACGTATATGGTACAACAGCACATACATGAAAAATCGAAAACATAGTGAAAAATTGTTGCTATAATGTGCTGTGTTTATTTTTTCTTCGGATAAATTAAGTCAAGTATAAACATGGCTGCAAGTTTTTCAATAGGGATTTTGTAGAGCCAATGGAATGAAAGTCACCACAACACAACATATCTGTCATTTCATCGTATTATCGAAAAGGTGGTGTACATTAATATTCGGTCTTTCTATTTTGGACTTTCGAGAATCAACTCGTGTGTTTAATATAGTTCTTAATTCATATTTCATTTTATTTTTTTTCGTCAATTTCAATATTTTTGCACAAATTAGTTGCAGCGTTTCGTACGAAAAGTTTGAGTACACTGGAAATTTTCCATGCAGGTATTTCTCCTCATTGATTTATAGTGAACAAAACCATTGTGGAAAATTGTGGCTGTGTTGTGTTCTTTGGCTTCGAATGAAGTTTTTCAAGTGCTCTTTTACTGTCGATTGTGAATTTCATTTGATTATTTAAAAAAAGTGCGTTTACCAAACGATTTATCGAATTCGTTCCTATGCATTGAGTTTTTCATTCGCTATTGAATAAAATGCCACGATCCCGTCGTTCAAATATAGGCCGACGTACGCGTCTTGCGAACATGATGTTATCGCAAAGAAGATCGCAAAATGTTGAGGAGCACTCCCAACAAAAGGAAGTACGGCGTGCAGGAGTTTTCATTAATTTTTCAATATTTGGTGAAGAGAAGCACACCGGAGTACCGCTTGGAATCAAGGGATGCTTTTTTCATAACAAAATACCGAAGTACTCCACATTAAAACTGGTATATCTTGAGAAAGAAAAATCGAGTCGCATCAAACGAAAATGATGCCCTAATTAGAAATGAGCAAGTAATTTGATGTTTTCATTTTATAACCTCAAATATTGCTAAAAACCGTGTTTTTGGCACTTTGAGGTTAGGATATCTCAAAATTCTAGTGCTAGGGCAATTGTGAGGCCAGATTTGGATTCAGCACCAATAAACGATGTGTTTTACTCAGGTGGTAAAAAAAAACAAAATTTGTACAAATAATTAGAAAAGAAAAAAATAAATACTTAACTTACTTGCGTACTAGCATTTTCAACGCGAATAGAATTTAACAAGGTGGGTTTGCAACTTCAGCTTTTTATCAATCATGGTTGTATTTTAGTCCATTTAAATTTGTAGATTCTTGTAAATTCAGTACTGCCACAGCCTTAAATATTTCAAATTATTTCAGGTTTTAACTATCTCGAAGTAATTTTAGTTCAGAAAAAAGAGCACTTAAAAGGCACTGGGCACTAAATAATTTTTTTTTTGGCGTTTTAGTTTTCAAAAAGCACTAAATCTAGTGCTTAAAGCACCCAGTTGGCAACTATGGCGCTGGTATTCAGTCATCCTCTAATTTCTTTTAGGTATCGATACAACTAAGTCAACGCGCTGGTCAGTCATACAAAGCAGCAATATTGATTGAGTATGCAACAGTTGGCGTTCAACGCATGCCAGTCTCTGGCTCGTACGCGTACGTATTGGTGGCAGTGATCGGACTCCTACCACATTGTGATAGATCTGCCACTTTTTTCAGCATCTACCACATCTACCACACAAGGTCTGAAATCTGCCACATATTTGCGTTTTTGAGTAGTTTATTTTTGCTCGACATAATTTTCTTAAATTTATGAGCAAAAATTGTCCAACACTAAACGCTAACAACAGGCAAAATGTGAGGATTGTGTTAAATTGCAAAATATATGATTTATAAAAACGAATTAGTAGCGAAAATGTTAAAAAAATGGCGAATTTTGTGAAAGTATTAGCAAATTTCAGTGCATCCAAAGTTTCTAAAGCGTTGTTTACTTTTACTTGAGAATTGTCAAAATCGGCAAATCCCAAGTAGCGTTTTTTGGAATGTGCCACATTTGTTCGCTACATCGTGATGTGATAAAAAGAAAAGCTGGCAGCACTCCATAAGGTTGCAGAAATTTCTTAGAATATGCTCGAAAAATATCTTTATATGGAAGGAACTGCTTTACACTGTCAAGGAAAAAAATTGCCAAAATTCAACGCAATTTTTAGCAACTTTAATCTTGCACTTTATTATACTAAAATTAATTATTATTTTTTTAATGCCAATTAAAATGTTTAGGTGAAACCTTTCCGGATTTTTTTAATTTTTGTACAAAGTTTGGCCCAAAACCTGAGATCTACCACATTCTTTTGAATTCGACCACATTTTTTTCCAGATTCTACTACACAAATTTTTTTTCTAGTCCGATCACTGATTGGTGGACCAAAAAGCGTGCGTGGTTTAGTGCGGGAATGCAATAGAAATTCGTGTGTGTGTGTTCGCTGCACTTGGTTTATGCAGGAAATTCATAAGTCCCTTAAATACAGCTTTTCGATATAAGTTTCCATGGAATGCTGCAACTAACTTTGGAGTCGGCTTTCTTTCGACTATGAATATGCCCCAATGATTCCAACAATATTTTGACCACTCAGCGTGGACCTTAACTACAGCGATTGTCATTTAAGGCAATAACAACTACAAACAATATTTTTCGTTTACACATTTTGCAAAGTGTTTGGCATAACTTCTCCTACAATCTATGATGTGCGTCTTGATGTTGTCACGCAAATGCAAGGAACCTACAGTTTTACGCTATCTCCGAACAGCAGACAGTTTTTATTTTGTTAGAAGCGAGAGGCCACCGCTCTTGGAAAAATCTTTGGCGTGGGTGGACCATGAATTGAACCGGTGTCCTGCAAGGTGTAGTATGCACTTGTAACCGCTCCGCTGTAGCGGTCTCATCCTTTTATTTTACAGGACTTTAGTGAGATTTTAGCCATACCTAATAATTTGCTGAAGGTTTTTGAAGATCTTAATGTAAACTTTTAACAATATTAATAGAATAAGAATCAAATATTCAAGTTTTTTCGTGTGTATTGTCATACTGTTATATTTGCAGTTATGAACAGGAATCGAAAACTCAATTTGTTATTGATGCAGTTTACGCATTCGCGCATGCCTTACACAAACTTCACAACGATCTCTGCTTGCCAAATGATAGTCAAAATGACCAGGTAACGGCAGGCTATGGGAAATCAGCTCAACAGCATACCCCGTCAATTTGGTATAGAAATCAATTCGGCACTGAGTCTCACGCATGCCCGGAAATGGCAAACTATGATGGCAAGGACTTCTACAACAACTACTTGTTGAATGTATCATTCATTGGTAAGACAGATTTTATTGCTGCTCTTAGGTTTTCTCTTATAGCGTAGACAGACAGCAACGTTTATCCAGATCAACGGCGCAGTTGACCCGATGAACATTTGCAATTTAAGTTAGCCGCATGGTCACGGGTTCGAATCCCACTGCCACCAAAATTTATATACAATTTTTTTTAATTACTTTAAAAATCACATTTATTTTTTAATGTAATTATATTTTTTAAAAAATTTTATTTAAAAAAGTAAAAAATTAGCTATGGCCATTCTGCTACCGCGGAAGCCAAACACACATTCTTTGTTTGCTTCGTTTATTTTTCATTCACAATAGACAGCAGCTGGCCATTTTGTCTTGTTATCGAAAATTCCCCTGAACCGCATACATTTGGAAATTAGCTGTAGGAATTAATCCGGATAAACTATAGTTAATTCCCGAGATAATTCTCAATTAATGAGTTGCTCCGAATCAACCCTGCCGTCTGTCTACGCTTTTACAAAAACTATATTTGTATGTAGTATGTATGTATGTATGCATGTGTACAACCAAATTTAATCTTTTAGACTTAGCTGGAAGTGTTGTCAAATTTGATCGGCAAGGGGATGGATTGGCGCGGTACGATATACTCAATTATCAACGATTGGAAAATTCTTCAAGTTACCATTATAAGGTAGATTTAAATAATTTAGGACGGATTATTCTTTCACTTAAAATATAAACTTAGAATTAATATTTGTACCAGTATGATTATATATCGTCGTTTAAAGTACAAAACCGCGTATCAACAAAATGTAAAACCGCGTATGTGAGGTTGCATAAATTATTTTCTTGAGAGTAAAAACATTCATATTTCAAAATGGTTCTCTTTTTTATAAAGCAATCGCATTTCTGGCTAATATATTTCAGGACGAATGGATAAGGATTGAGCCAAGAGCTTGTGTGAGCAAATCCAATTTTTGGCAGAAAATGTCAGTTACGCAGTTTTGCAGAATGACTTTACACGGTTTGGTATTTTAAACGGCGATATAATATATAGTGAATGCAGGCGCCATGGCGCAATGGGAGCAATGTGGCTAGTCATGTCGGCTGGGCGCGGGTTCTAACTCACAACTGTTCCCTGCGCCATAGCACATAACACTCATGACATCTAAAACATCTCAACTTCCGGCCAGTGTTGCCAGAGAAAGTCCCCTAAAAATCTTAATTTTTTCCAAAAAAAATCTTCAAAATAAGATTTTAAAGCTTAAAAAATCTTTTCGATCCCAAAAAATCTTCATTTAATAATACCTAAAAAGAAAACGGCTGTAAATAGCCCTTATTATGTTGGTTGAAAAAATTACGAATTTCAAGTTATAAAGTCCTTTTTATAACAACATCAACTTTAAATGAATATTGCCTCGTATCATCACAAAATTTGTAGCACAGTTAACATATGTATATACACACTGGCGAAAATATAAATAGGGACGAGACATTTTGCAATTTTTACCGACTTCAAAAAAGGAGGAGTTTATCAATTCGTGTGAATATTTTTTTATGTATATATGTTACCGCATAACGTTTGAGCTTTTTAATTCGATCTTTTATTGATATTTTTACATGGACGTTGTTTTATAAATCTTACCACCCCTTTTTTCTCGTTATACATTTATCCATGTAAACCTATCAGCAAGTTTTTCTTAAATGGGAGTTTACTTGAATTTCCAATTGTTGTCATGTTTACTAGAGGGGATACAAAAGACCGGTTGTTCTTTTTCTCCACTCTCTAGCTCTGCACTAGAGTATATGTTTTACTGTGCGAGAGAAGAAGGCAGACAATATTGTAGGGGATTTCGTATTTCATTTTTCTTCTTCCTTATTTTGCTGCTTACAATGATGTAGCAAGGATAATATAAAGAAGTTAACAATTTTAACTTAAACATTAAATATATTAGATCATACACACAAATCTTCATTTTGAAGATATTTTCAGTGTAAAATTTTACTTTTTAAAAAATCTGCTTTTGAAGATTTTTAATAAAAAACAGCCCAAAAAATCTTCATTTTCAAGATAAATCTTGACTTATGGCAACGCTGCTTTCGGCATGGCCGGAACGGACAAAAAAAGTTCAAAAAAGAACATTACATATAAACTTTTAAATACAGGAGCGAAATTAAACGAATATAAATGCGCCACTGACCGTCCCACCCTAATGTCGGTAGTCCCATAATTACGTGCATTCTTTTTGCAACCGAGCTACAAAAGAACACTCGCTTAAATAACGAAATACTTGCAAAGCTATTTATCTGAGTTCAGCCAGGTCCGTTAAAAAATACCCGACCTGAAGGAATTGATCATGGGATAGTGGAAAAGGGAAATTTTTGTTTCCTTTTATACATGATTTATATTTTAAACTAGCTGTACCCTGCCACGCTTTGCTGTGGCATATTTCTGTTATATGGACGATAAATTATTAACGAAACAAAGCATACGTTTCATAAGTGTTTGGTTATGTAATAAGTGTACGTGTGCACACAATATTTGTTATTTTTCCATTCTCTGCATAGATATCAAGGATATCTGGTTTGCCGACACAGGAACACGCAACATCTGAGAAGCAATCCGCATCTAAATCTAAACCATACTTTTCCAAAGTTCGACCTGGAGCATTATTGATTGTGATTCCGAATGTCAATCGAATTGGGAATTCAAATCTTTTAAATTGAATCATCATCATTAAATGGAATCATGGGAATTCTTCACCTTTGAAAGGCCACGTTAAAATCTTTTCTTACATTACGTTCTTTATCAATTTCTTAACTGCGAGTCGCATTCCGTTGCAGAGTTTTCGCTGATTAATATTCCGCAACATGATAACTGTCAAACCTATTTTTAATTTCAGTATGTGAGGTATCCCTGGAAGATTAATCGAGTTCAAAAATTTCGTTGGATGGTCTTTTTCCACAACGGTGTTTATCGACGTATATGCTATTTCCTCACGTTGAATGCTGGATTGAATAACATTAGTGGTATTCACCACAGTGAGCAAGTGGTCTGGCAGTCTAGTAAAAGAGCTGATCAGGTCAAGCAACGACTGTTATCAATACCACTATTATTTAGTTGATAGACCTCCTTATTCTTCGCAGCAAGAATAGCCCGTTTACTGAGCCAATCGTGATTCCTAAAATTAATTTTCTTAATAAAGAAACATTCCTTCGATCAGTTCTCCTTTCGATGATTCTAATTTACAAAAATTATCAGGTCATAAAATTCGTCTTAATCTCTCATTGACTGGCAGCTTTGTGTTCCAAATGTCCAGTTATTGTCGCGCGAATACTTCAGCTGCAGTGTATGTATGTTCGTCTTGTCGCAATGTTGACTATTTCAGGCAAGCATTTGTCTCTCGTGTTAATCGAGAAACTACAGACAATGTTTTCGTAAAATCTCCTGCGAGCAATATCCCGAATGGTTGAATGTTTCCACGCAAATCCCGCAACAATGGATCAAAAGCCTCAAACGATTTTTTATGTGCCATGGTGCACTCATCCCAAACAATGAATTAAATTTTTTGGTAAACTTTTTTCATACCGGATGCTCTGGAAATATTGCACGTGGGAGTTTCGATGATTTATATGTTCAATGGCAGCTAAAGAGCTGAGTGGAAACATTCACCTGGTAATAATGTCGGAGCAATTCCAGACGAAGCGATAGCTAAGGTAATATAATTTTTTGATCGAACCGTTGCCAGAATCCATCTGATAAGGAATATTTTGCTAGTTCCTCCTGGCGCATCCAAAATGGTCCCCCAACTCCGTCATTTATCATTTGCATATTCTTCTTCTACTTTGGCTTTGTAACCGCCTAAGCCATTTTGGCCGAGCTCCACAAAGAACGCCAGTCATTTCTCTCTGTGCCAACTTGGTCTCTCCATTGCCATGGGTGCTTCCTATTCGTCTGCTACCACCATCGGCTTGCGAGTTGAATTCTTTTACACCTGAAACTTTGGTTCCTATTGAACGACATGTCTAAGCCAGCGGAGCCGCTTATATTCATTCGCTGCACTATGTACATTTAGTTGTAAAGCTCATACAACTCATCGTTCCATCGTCTACGGTAACATCGTCGCCCATGCGTAGAAGCCTGTATATCTTCCGTAAGATCTTTCTCTCGAATACTCCAAGAGCCGCCTCATAAAATGTTGTCATTGTCTAAGCTTCTGCGGCATATAACAGCTCGGGCATGATGAGTGACTTATAGAGTGCGGTTTTTGTACGTCGAGAAAGGACTTTACTCCCCAATTGCCTACTCAGTCCAAAGCAGCACCTGTTGGCAAGAGTAATTCTGCGTGAGTTTTCCATGCTGATATTTTTATCGGTGATAGTGCTGGTTCCCTAGTAAATGAAATTCTCCACTTTCCCGAAATTATAACTGCCAACAGTGACGTGGGTTCCAAGGCGCGAACGCGGTGACTGGAGATACTTCGCCTTGTCCTCGTTTACCACCAGGCGCATTCGCTTTGCTTCCTTATCCAGCTTGGAAAAGGCAGAAGAGACTTCGCTATTTTTGTTACCGTTGATGTCGATGTCATCGGCACACGCCAGAAACTACACGCCCTTGTAAAAAAAAATTTTCCTACATGGTTCAGTTCTGCAGCTCTTATTATCTTAACATTTGCATCATGCGATCGTAAATGCTCTTCTGATTTCGCTTTAATTTGGGAATCCTTGATTGGGAATAGGAGTTCACAATAGTAATGATAATCATAATCATAATAATATTATCTCATGTTATTCAAAATTTCTTTACTCGCAATATACGTAGTAGGCCTTGGCGACCCCAAACGAAATTGCTTACGATTAAAAGTTGACTGATTTATAATGCTAGGGAATGGTGTCAACAATTTTATGTTTATGTTTTTTGTTTTCGGTATTCTTTTATCATTTTGTTATTTGTTTCAGTAGTTTTTAGCCGACTTCAAAAAAAAGGAGAAGGTTATCAATTCGTCGGATTTTTTTTTATGCATGTTACCGCATAACTTTGGACCACGTCAACCGATTTCCAGGTGATCCCATACTAATTTGGTTTAGATCCGATCATTGGATCATGAAAAAATTAACCGTACTATTACACTTTTATATGAGAACTGGAGTCGGTGTGTTGTTTGCTTGAAAATTACTTGTTTATGAATTTTTTACATTAAGTAATTTGTATACCAGCTCTTCGTTGATAATATGAGCACTTCGTTTGATAAAATATTGTAAATTCTATATTTATTTACAATGTTCGGATTTTGGATAAGTGGAAAGATTTAAAAAAATTCCCTAGTAAAGCTTTCCCAAATACTTTTCGTTTGGAACCAGTTGTGTAATATTTCATTTAATTTCAATATTATCAGTCTTTACTTTTATTTTATAAAAAATATTTCCAAATCAAGATTTTTCAAATACCTGTCGTTTGGCACCCATATTGTTCCTCAAACATATTTTCGATTGTAAGTCTTCTTAAAACTCTTTAGTTTGATACCCACATTGCAATATTTCATTTATTTAATCAAGCCAAAACGGTCCACCCTAATGCTTAATAATATAGGTACATATGTACGCATAAATGTACACTAAAGTGGTCCAAAAATGTATGTAAAAAAATAAGGTCGGATTTTTAATGCCGCCACCCCCTAGGATGGTTATATA